CCCAGCAGCAAAGTAGTCGTCGGAATCCGTGCCCGCGTTGGTTTGGCGAAGTTCTGCTCGGTTGATGATGTCTTGCTGCATGTTGCGCATCTCGTCCACTAGGAGCTCTGATTGTGTTCCGTAGTTCACTTTGTTGTCTTCGTCGCCCGTAGAGGTACGGCGTCCGAGCAATGACGTGAAGTTCATCACGTCCTGTTCATATCCGAGACGGTCGTCCCACCGGTGAGGGGGGATGGTGTTGGGTGGAGTCTCGATGAAAGTCACGTTCCGGCTCTCGTAGACCTTGTCTTTGCCCTCCACGTAGATCCGGTACGTCTTGCTGTCAGGTCCGTAACCGCAGAGCTTGCCTTCAAAAGCCCGGTCGACTAGCTTCTTCTTGTATCGCTCGTGATAAACGAACGCGCGGGCGCCGATGGCACGAAGTCGAGAAAGGTCCGGGGTTGTGTTGTACATCTTGGAATACGGCGTGGCTCCCCCTAGCGCCGCGTGTGGGGTCCTGTTGGTCAGGTATGCTGCAGTCATCATGAGCTCCCCCCACATGTGTTTTGGGAAGTCTCCATCGCGCAGTAGAGCTCGAGTCACAGCCGCAAGTGTCTGGCCATCCCTTTCTGACACTCCGATTTCTTGGGGCGTGTTGGTCGCGGCGAATTCCAGCTTGATCGCAGACTCCCTACAGTAGTTGCGCATTTCTTCCCCAGTGTTCTCTCCCCCTTTGTCACAGCGTAGAACCTCGATGCGGTAGCCTTCAGATGCTACTTGCATGTTGTAGGCGTGCAGAGCTTGCGTGGTTTCGGTCCTGTCGCGCAGTAGGTACACTTCCCGCATTCTGGTGAAGACGTCGGTCGCTTTGGCGACATAGGAGTAGGTGCGTCCGTTGTACTTCGCAGGCGGGTCGATTGGTCCCATGTTGTCGAACTGGACGAGTTGGCCTGGTTTGGTCAGGACACGGCTGGTCTTCTTCGGGACGGGAGCCTTCTTGTGCTTCGTGATTTGGCAGTTGTCGCACGGGGATACAGGTCCGTCATATTTCACACCTGTGGCGGGGTTGCGCCGCAAAATCTCCATAGCACTTGGATTGATGTGGCCGAGGCGCCGGTGCCAGAGGTCGGCGCTCACGCTCATCGCCACTGAGCATGTCGCGTGCAGAGTGTGATCGATCTGTACCGCTTCTGGTTTTCCGAACTTCGGCTTGCGCCCTGGTTCTTGGTTGTTCGGGGGTGTCTTGCTTGTCGACGCTGGATCGCCCTTGAATGTGATGGCGAGGGTGCACATGCCTTGGTCTTGAGTCTCTTGTTTCAGAGGAACGACGACTTCTCCGCCGATGGTGAGGTGTGGGGTCTTGTCTTCCAGGACACATCGGAGGCCCTTCTTGAGAAGGGCCGTTGGTGCGAAGATGTTCCGGCCTAGTCCTGGCACGATGAGACCTTGTAGTTTGACGGGTAGTTGCTGTTCTTTGTCGTCTTCGATGGTGCAGTGTAGGATCCCAGTGGTAGTGCCTCGTAGTTGGCTTTCTCCTGCAACGTCGATGATCTTGGGCGTCGGGCGTTCTTCTTCGAGACGTCCATTCGGGATGAGGCGGTTGTCGAACATGGTCTCAGAAGCTCCAGAATCCACCAGCGCGGAAGTCCCAGTTGCAGTTGTCGTGAAAGTGCGTCCGCTTCCCTTGCTGCATGTAGCATGGTACATGAATCCACCCTTGAATGCATCTTCGTCGTAAGAGAAGTCGATCTCTGCCTTTTCGGTCTTCTCTGTTTCTTTGGGAATTTCTGTTGTGGTAGGCTTGGCGTGTGTGTCTCTTGACTGGGTTGAGCAGTGCACGCAGTGTGTGCATGCAGAAAAGGCCTTGCCCGTGCGTTCTGGTCGCTTGGCTCCTTGGTTGTAACACTCTTCGTCGGAGTGTGTAGTGGTGTTATGGACGGAGCACCACTTGGTTGCTCCCGCAGGCTTCGTCTTCTTTGCCCTATGGCCCTCCCGCTGGCGATTGGGACAGTTCCTCCTGACATGTCCCGGTTCGTTGCACTCGAAGCAGATGGGGCCAGATGTCTTGGTAGCCATGGCGAATCCGCGGCCAGCGATTTGGCCCTTGGTTCTCTTGCGCATTTGCTCGTCAAGGAAGATGTTGCGCATGGTGGCTTGCATCTGTTGTACGTCGAATGATGGGTCGCGGAAAACCATCATCTTGATGTCCTTGTAGTCCTCGGAGAAACCTTGCACACAGATGTCCTTGAAGCGGCGATCGGAGATGGTTTCCCCCATTTTCTCTAGTTGAGAGCGGAGGCGGTGTTTCTTGTTGAAAAAATCGTCCGGGTTCTCTCCTGGCTCCATGACCGTCCTTTCCAGGTCGTCCAGTTTAGCCCTGATCACTTCATCTGTCACTCGATTGTAGTTGGCCTTCAGTTCCGCGAATGCTGCCTGCCCGTCGCCGCTAAGGCCGGTGTCGTCTTCGTGCTTGTGTACGGTTAGTGCAGCCGGCAGTTCGACGAGGCAGAATAGGATTGCGTACAGGTCTTCGTTTGCTCTCTCGTATGCGGCGAAGTTGGTGTCCGAGGGATCAGGCCTGCGCATTCCCTTGAGAAGTGGCATGATGTCCCTCCGAGTAACACCGACGACTACACCCAATTTCTTCATCCAGTCGTTGAAGTCCTCTGGTTTCGTTCCATCGAACTTGGGGAGTCCTCTGATGACGTTGGCCAGGTTTGTGGATCCATCACTCCAGATGCTGCCTCCGCCTCCAGTTTCCGATTTTGCTTCCATTTCTGGTTTTATCCTGATGATCTCGTCTAGTATTTTTGTTGGTGTATTACTCAGCTATCTGTCGCTGAGATTTTTCCAGCCCCGCTCCTTCTATTGATATAGAGGACTCCGGTTGCCGATTCGTGACCCCGCTTCTGAAACCCTTTTCTCACCTAGATAGAGAATTGGTGAATAGAACTCCGGTTGTAGGCCAATTTGCGACCCCGCTCCTGATACCCTTTCCTCACTTAGGGAATCGGTGAATAGGACTACGGTTCCCGGTCGACTTTCGCTGTTGATACAGTCTTCCCTCCTGTCTCCGCCGCAGAAGTATTTGCTCGATGTCTAAATCGAGGCTTCCCGCGCAACACTTTGCTGTTTGTTCAACACAGAGGTACCCACTACTGCTGTTGCAGCAGTGATAACGTGTGTGTATAATGAACTCTCAGCCCCTTGGTGTAGATGACCAAGTAGTGCGCTCACTTTCGTTTCCGCTGACCGTTGATGATCTCCCAAATCTCCGAATCCAGATTTCCGCTCGAAGTCCACAGACGGATGTTGTAGTCCACAGCAGTAGTAGGATGTCTTGACCTCCGTCGTGACGTCCGCAGCTCCTAGTGTTCGCGTAAAGCGAGGCTCATAACCTCACAGAATGTGGCGTCTTGCAGCAGCGGAGGTGGCGGTGCCGCTGTAGCTCGTAGACTTTGTAGTCTACCACAGAGGTTACACTGCTGTCACCGCTCTATCACAGAGGTTGGTCTACACTGCTGTGAAATCGGTAGGCCCGAGCGAGCTTTGGAAAGAGAAATGCAGATAGATGTTCTTATCAACTGACTCCCTGGTCAGGCTTTGATGGGTGCTAGATGAGAGTGAGCACAAGGGGCGAAGGCGCGCTTGTGTCTCATCTCAACAACAAAACAAAAACAAAAAACAAGCAGCAAAAACACAGCAGGTTCCGAGGGTCTCCGGAGTAATGGCCCGAGTACCGGAATTTCGGGGTTCGGAACAATAAAACAACTACAGTCTCGCCTGCCAACATATCTCCTCTACAACTTTGTGCTCATGTTCTCTGCTGAGTACCATCTCTTCTTTCTGTATTATGTCTACGGAAGGCTGCTAGTTGCCGCAGTCGCACCTATGGTAAACTGTGCCTGACTACGTTGTAACAGTTTTCCTCGACACAGGCGTGCAGCACCGGACTCCTATGTCTACGACGAAAAACAAGGGAGAGGAGCTTGGAGTGGCGCATCGGCCAAGCACCGTTTCCCCGCTCTTTCGCGTCAACGACACCGGAGTCTGCTGGTACTGGACTTCTAAGTTGTAGTGAAGAAATATTGTCTTAGTAGTGGCAGCCAGCAGCAGCACAGGCGGCCGCGGCACCTTGATGGGCAGCAGCAGCGGTGTGGGGGCGTCTTCATCGCCTGCACAGTGGCCACCGACCTTTGTTCTGCAGTTACTTACCATCTTCCATTGCTTCATCCTGCTGGATCAGTTGGTGGTGGTGGGGATCGTTATGGTAGTCGTCGTTGCTCTGCGGCTTCGCCCCCTCCCTCACCACGGGAATAAATTCTTCTTCATCGGGCAACGGCACACCCTTCCGAGCAGCAGAGCAAACGAAACGTTCAGTCTATAATGTGGGTCAAGGGGGTGAAGATCTCACTCACATCAAACACAAAACGCACACGAACGCACGTACATCGCGACGGAACAAAAAAGCCAATCCCTCGTTGGGCAGGAGAGCGACGGGACCTACTGTATGTGGTATTGCAAACGATGCGATGACTACTGGAGCGCATGTGACTGGGACATCAAAGGAAATGCTAGATTCTGCTCATTTATAGAGGGTTGTACCATGATTTGTTGTGTGAAAACAATCTACTGCTGTAGACTATATGGTGTAGTCTACTGTACGTACGGTAGTCAACATGGTTAACCATTTCAAAATCAAATCTTCCTACTCAGAAATGGCCTGCTTTACGTAAAAAAATCCCACCGTCACCCCTCATGATGCACCTACAGCAGCAGAGGAAGTGGATATCGTGCGTTCTCAGCTTACAACCAGACAGCTCTGCCGGAACCAACCCCCGCGTCACCTAGCTGCGTGGGTGTCCTATAGTCTAAGCGCATTTTCTTGGGCATGTCTGTCTGTGTGTCCGTCAACCATGAATAACAACATACGAGTCACAACACACATTAGGTTGGTGTCGATGCTAACAATAGAGACACGTTAACCTGCTCACCTCCCCATCCCCCCCTTTCCCCAAGATGTGGAGCGGAGAGTCCACCCTGCGGGTAATCCCCTCGGGGTCCAGCGCCGAAGGAACCCGCGGGATGCGCAACTTCTCCTCGATGGCGACCGCGCCGCTGCTGCGCCCAACACCAGCCCCGTCAATGGTCTTGCCTGAGGGTACACCGATGGTCTTGCCGACCTCGCCCCTCTGTTTCCTGCCCAACATTGAGTTGGTGTTGAACGTGTGTTGCATCGGCGAAAAACGGTAGACGAAGGAGTTCGCGATCGGGCAGCACGCGACAAAGGCCCAAGCGCCCAAGATCATGATGCGCTTGATCATCATCATCATGATTGTCTGTGCCGATCCTGCGCTCGCTGTGGCCGTGACAACAGGTTGTTGTCAAAGTCAGCGCGCGCAGAGGTTCGTTATGTCCGTGTGCGCCGTTCTCAGCAGGCAGGGAGAGACGCGAATTGTAACGGTTTTTTTAAACACACCCCGCTCATGTAAAAAGAGTCAAGATCGCGAGGGGTCCGCGCGGCGTTATTTCGTTCTTTGCAGTTCGGCGGTCCGCGAGGCGTGTGTTTTGGTCTGCACGGCAGTTTCGTTATTTTTTGGTGTTTTTGTTCCATGTCGCTCGGTTCGACGAGAGAAAAGCTGTAGAGTATACTGCACTGCGTTTGCTCCTTGCTGCTGCTCTTGGCTGACCCAGGACTTCGAAAAATCCCCACAGGTACGAGCAAATTTTTTTTGTGTGTGGTCGAAGATGGACTGCGCCTCTGCACAAGCCCAACATGCCACCATGCACAACATTCTACTGCTGCCGTTCACCTGTCGCCGTCCTTCCACGTCTACCTGTCCATGACACATGCTGCCACTTGATGCGGCAACATCTGGGAACAACACGGACACAGGGAGTACCCCCGTACCCATACGCACAACCTCTCATTCCTCCCTTGTCAAACACAAATGATGTAACATGCATGAAATGATGAACTCTGTCTAGACTATATTTACAAGTATGGTCCACGCTGCCTACAAATGGGAGAGGTCGCCATACCTCCTACCTACACACGGACGAGAGAGGTGAACACACCCACTGCATTTAACACACACCCACATGTCGGTTATGAAACCTCATCAACCACACGCCTCTATCGGCGACCACGTCATCAGGAGGCAATGATGAGAAATGTTCTCCCGTGCCCTTCTCACATTTAACGACATGAAATTCCACAACATAACATATATGAGACACACAAGACAGCTACCAAACTGATCTTTTGAGCCTGTCACCCGAGAGTTGTCCCTATATGCTGTCTAGGAAATCGTAGACATACAGGTAGTTTTCTCTGACCCTATGATTCCATTGTTAATCTGTCTCTGACTCTTTTCTATGATAGAGATGGCACATCAGCCGCACATACTCCGCACATATGCATACCAAACTGAGAATATGTTTGTAAACTGATGGAGATTGCATGTGTTAGAACTAATAGGGTGCGACACACAAAACGCCCGACTACCCAACAGTACCCAACACCTTTCGTCTGCACCTTCCCAACATAACATATATGAGACACACAAGACAGCTACCAAACTGATTTGTTGAGCCTGTTACCCACAGGGGAGATGTCCCTATATGCTGTCTGGGAAATCGTAGACACACAGGTAGTTTTCTCTGACGCTACGATTGCATTGTTAAGCTGTCTCCGACTCTTTTCTATGATAGAGATGGACTCGTTGTGTCATATTAAGAAAAAAAAAAAAAGAATACCACTTTCAAAGAACAAGAACGCGAATAGCTAATTTCACAATAAATAGTTGAATCGGTCTCTATTGTGAAGCTTTCTAGGCGCACACGATTCAACACGTGTATCTGGAATGAGTGGAACACATGCACGGCGCGGAGGTGTATGGGCTCTCTCTGGGGCTGGGTGCGCCGCTTCCTTCCAAGCATAGTCTAGCGGACGTGCGTTGATTTCGCTGTGAACAGCAGGCGAATGAATCCGCTATTCTTCACTAGACTACTGCCGGATACTCTCTCTCTCTCTCTCTCTCTCTCTCTCTCTCCGCGACGTCTGTCTGTGAAGTTTCCACTTTATTCGCAGGTGCGTGCAGAAACAAAATATTTTCAACTGGTGTCGTATCCAAGTTAGTATAACTTCAGCAGGTGCTCCATGGCGTTACATACATATGTTCGTCGAGGCGGGCCAAAAAAGCTATGAGTGAAAGGCAGGAAGAAGAGGGGGTGACCGATAGCAGCAGCAGCCTTCACGAACGATTCATCTTGTTTTTTCTGGTTCGCCCAAGCGTCAAAAGGTCGCGGGTTACCTTGCACCCTGCAGCGCGGGGCACGCCGTTAAAGCAAGCGCAAAACATTCACCGCCATCGGCACATTTTTTGCACCCATCACTACATGTGCAGCAGCTACGCAGCACTTGTTGTACCACAGAGGGCATCCCCCGTACACATGGGTGCTGCAACTGGGCCACCGCTGTCCGACGGTACACGTAGACGCATCGAACGCACATAGTTGCTACTGCACCAATATTCGAGTTGCATGATCGTGTGCACACTCTTAAAACTACTGCGCTGTAGACTAGAGCTCAAGGCAGGGGGGGGGCACATGGGCATCTTGCCAAAAACATGTGCATATTTATGCCCACTTCTGTTGCGCTGCTTCACTTTCCACCATAAACAATGGTGCCTGCTGTGTGGTACGCAACACTACTTCGGTAGAGCTCTCCAACAGGAGTCATGATGCGCATGGTCTTCTATCATTCGCGTCCATCGATGGCTCTTACAAACGTCGTTCCGCCATACGCAGTGAACATCAACCACGGGAAGTACAGAGCGGGTCGCGTCGCTGACGACGACTCGTAAAGACTGAAACGACTGTCCATAGCGAAATATCCACGCCACTCATCGACGGTGACCAGCGTCTTGATTGTGACCGCCGCTACGCGAAGGGATTCTCCTCCTCTTCGCCGTCCTCCTCCTCAAACCCATGGTGGTCATCACTCTCCCCGAGGGTGGTCGTGCCAACAAACGTTCCACCCGATCGTCCTACCTCCGACGTGAATCTCGCTCCCGTATCGAGACTAGAAGAAAACGTTGGGACAGCGAGATTTCTCCCGCCGCTGCTCTCGCCGCCTCTTACCCTTCCCTCTGCCCCGGCCGCGCCCCCCAGTGGCGCGTTCGATTGCTCGGACGGCCATGCTGGCGACGCCGCCATGGATGACCCGCCGCTACTCCCTGGAAAACCCGCGTTCTCGCCACCAGATCCTGCCGCCGAAAATAGCCCTCCTCGTGCCGGGCGATCCGTAGGCCCTCTTACCGAGTTCCCGTTGGAGGTGCTGCCGCTACCCGCTAGTTCTTCTCGAGAGGTTGGGGGTGTCGGTACCGCTCCTGCTGCCCCCAGCATATTGCCCGGAGGAGAGGAACTGGTCGACGTTCCCGAGCCACGCGACGTGTCCGGCATCCAAGCCGAGCTTCTCCGAGAACTTCCACCGCCTCCGAACGAACTCCCCGGGGCTTGACGCAACGTGCCTCCCATCCCCGCCCCCGCTCCCGCCGCCGCCGCCCTTGGTGATCGCCAACTGTCGAACAAACTCTCTTTCTTCGCCGCACCACCCATGCCGCCTCCGCTAGCGCCGGCCGTCGCGTCACCCCCGAAGAGGCTGGAGTTCGCCGGGTTGGTCCGGCCGGCTGCCGCCGCTCCCGTACCGTTCCCGAAAGGCCCCACCGCGCCACCCCGACCCACCCCGTTCCCTATTCGCGTCCTCGGATTCTCGTGGGGATTCCACTCTCGCCCAGGGGCGGCTGAGCCTCCAGGGGCCAGTGCACTACCATCCCCGGGCTTCGAAGGCTGCTCCCGGCTCCATGCCGGCAGCATGCCTCTTAGTCTCCACTGGCCACCGCCAACACCGCCAGCAGCGCCGGCGGGGCCCGCGGCGGAAGCGCCGCCGCTCCCGCTTGGGCGCAGGAAGCTTCCGGCGAGCGAAGGTCCGCCGTCTTGGGGCCCCGTGGATGGGAGTTGCCGCCCCGGGGGGGTGCGGTGACGCAGAAACGCCTCGGGAAGCGGCGCCAGGGTCGAATCCATTCGGAGGATCTGTGAGCCAACAGACAACCAATGGGAATGAGGCACAGGTATGGGCACGGACGGGCAAGGTTCAAAACGGGTATTGTATTCGATTGGGGCTTGAAGTAGGTTTGTGGGCACAGTAGGAGGACGATGAGGTCAGCACAAACAAGTGATGATATCCGAATGCAAAGACGCCAAGGTTCGGATAAGACGCCAGAGGCGGGGGATGCAAAATCAAGCGTTTGCGTTTCCCGAGAGGCATGACGCGACATATCTCGAGGTGGCATGCTCTAAAGGGAGCGTGCCGACAAGGGCCACAACACACTTCGGTGTGTCCAGAGGCCACTCGCCCCCCATTTACATTCATCCTCACAGCAAGCCCTCTTACCGGGCCCAAGAAATGCAACATCACCGGCCGCGTGGCCCGCGCCACAGAACTCCAGGCGGCTTCCAGCGACATGAGCTCCGTCGAGTCTCCATTTACCTTGAACAGGCGGTCTCCCGAACACACCCCCGGCGGCGATCTCCCGTTGCCCTTTCCCAGCATAGAGAGAGGTGGGATAGGGTACGTTACATCAAGTATAGCTGTGAGGCAAAGTTGAAGAGCGAGGAGGCGGGGGGGGGGGGGGGGGGGCGGGGGGCGCACCTAGCGCATACGCATGCATGCNGGGGGGGGGGGGGGGGGGGGGGGGGGGGGGGGGGGGGGGGGGGGGGGGGGGGGGGGGCTCACGAGCATAAACAGAGCCAATGAGTGGCAGCATGTTTCAACAAAATTCACATCGCAATCCACTTGTGTAGCGACTAACGCTATGAACGGCACGCCTTGTGCAGGCCCAATTAGGGCGGCGGGGGCAGGGGCATCCGCAGGTAGAGGTGGCTGTACACTGCACAGCACTGCGATAACAAACCGTCTTCGTTTCAGTCAATCCTCAGCCATGGTGCTCCTTATCCCTCCCTTCCTTCCACCCTCTCCCTCCCACCTCTGCTATAAACTGCCCACGTGCCTGCTAGCTACGTTATTTGCCGGCACCAGCACACACACATAACGCGCTCAAGCTCAACTGTCGTCGCTTGGGTACTACCGCTACCAACAGGCCCTGCCTCTCACCAGCACAGAGGTGATCACCGGCGGCGCCCCTCCGTCCCCGTTCGGGCCTGCCGAGCCTGCTCCCCCGACGCCCAGCTTTCCGCCCGCCACCTCCGAAGCTCGCTTAAGCTTGGCGCCGAGCTCCTTGCCCTCCCACGACACCGAGAACTCTCGCAAGTTTCCCACCATACCGAGGAAGGCTCGCGTCGAGTCCAGGGTGCTCACGTGAGGAAGCTGGCGTGGAGTGGCGTGGTTGTCGATTTCGAGGAGGACATTTGGCGTGCCACGAAGATACGTGAGATGTGGGGGGGGGAACTACGCCTATGGCGGAGAAGGGACAGCGCGCATGTACTCCTACTAAAATGGCGAAAAACTAGACTGTGTAGATGCTGAGATTGAAAACAGAGTACGATGAGTAGGCAAAAAACGCGAGATGGACACGGTTGTCATCGCGCACCCCGCGAGCGCAGCCAGCCACAGACCGACCAGTAGCCACGGAGCTCGCGGGACCAAGAGCACGGCAGCTACAGGACGCAGAGGTAGGGCACGCTGCCAAAACAAACATGACAGCACAATCGTACCACCCCTGCTGCACGGAAAGACGCGGCGCAAATGCTATCGCGTCACTACACACCGCCTACGCCCCCGCTTGCTGCAAACATAGCCCCCCCCCCACCCCGCGGCCGCATGGATGATGACCAGCTTCTGGTTCATCCATACGTAGCCTGGGCCGGCGATCGCACGGCATATCACTCCGTCCCGGCATTGCAGGAGTGCCAAGTCAATCGTCTAACGCCTATGGCATGCATGGGTACCCCCCCCCCGGCCTGGCATTTCCTTCACCTGTAGCAAAGTCTTGAGGTACTGCTCCAAGGCCTTTCTTCGCTCCTCGACAAAGGACAAGTCGCCGTGGTTGGTCCAGAGCTTGGATTTCTTGCCCGGGAACCTGGGCAGGGAGGACCGCAGGTGGTGGCCCTTCATGAGCGACTCCACCTGCGGTACGGCACCCCCGATCGATCAAGCACCAGATGGTTGCCGCAGATGGGATAGCAGTAGTAGCGACGGTTCAAGAGAGGTCATGCAAGTGAACGTGTTGATTTCAGAGAGGAAAGGCGGGTTATCACGGCCGTTAGAAATGCAAATACTTCGGAGTATTTTATGGTAGTTCAAGATAAAAACGGATTAATGAGCGTGTTTTCGGCTTGCCCCGACCCCTCTCGAAACTGGTGATGCCACTCAAGAGAGAAACAGAACCATGTCGTGCTCTCGCCCATGTGAAGCTCGTCCTCTCAAGAATTTGGCTCCCTTTTCTGCAAGCCCTACCCTTCACCCCAACGCCCGTACACAACAACGACCGCCGTTGACAAGGCTGCAACTGGGGCTGTTCGAACGCATGCCTCCCTGAGACAGCTAAGAAAGTGTGTGCTGACGATGAGTGGCGTCCGCCAAAAGGAGGACGCAGTCCCAAGCATTGATATTGTCCCCGAAACAGGTGTAAACATGCACGGCGCCCACTGCAAAGCGAGAAATATAGTACACACCGAGCACTATCGTTCGTCCCCGACCAACCCTCCCCCAGTCTATTACGCCGCATTCCTTGCCCTCACCTGCTCCTGAAGAGCGTGAAAGTCTCGAAACCTCCGGTGAACCTGTTCGGAATTCGCGCGATATTTTGTCGTCTTGAGTTCACGGATTTACGAACAGCCATCCCTAAAAGGAGGCAGCGTTGTGCATCCGTACTGTAGTCGGTAGTGCAATTAAAAAAGGATGGCCACGACAGCACATCGATGAGATCGAAAACTTTTGGACCTACTAATATTGTACCAACGCGGCCACGTGTGGACCCGAGGTTCGGGCGGGGTCGCTGCCAGGCCCATACCGCAGTCCGTGCAGCCTCCAGGTAACCCACGGCAAGAAGTTCCAGATTCGAATGTGCTATTTCATGCATACTGTAGGCCAAAACAAGGGTGAACGGTCAGGCTTTTCTGCAGCGGGTCCGCGAGGACAAGAAGAAAAAAAAATGAAACTGAGTCCATCGCAAACAACTCACGGCCGACGGAAGGAATGAGTGCTGACACATTTGCAGACATCACTCAAGGCGATCAATTCATGAGAGCCACTATTATAACTATACCCAACCACGAGCACATTTGCACCTGGTATCTCAAACCATCCCAACTAAACAAAATGAAGGGAGGGAGACTTGAACAGCAACAACGACAGGAGCGATTGTGACACGTTGGAGGAAACGAGGAATAACATTCGAGTATCAACTGAAAAGCCAAGGAGCAAAGGGAGCTTTTCATGTCGTCATCTATCATCAGGATAATTTCCGGTGCCATACATGATGAGATCGGTCACCTACGCCGTCAAACAAAACTCCATCATTTGTTGAGACCCTCCCCCCCCCAAGGGACAAGACAGAGCGCGTCCCCGGTCCCCGGCCGTTACACCGGCTCTCACCAGGGTCCCCTTGCTGTCTGCCTTCCGCATGGTGTGCACCTCGTACCAGGTTACCCCTCTAACCCTGCTGCCGGTGTCCACGGTCGCGGGTACAGAGACTTCGTACTCGTACTCGGTGTTCTTGGTGGAGAAAGAAGAAAGGTTTGTTTTCGAGGGGTGAAACGAAGACAGGGGGAGAAAAAAAAGTTTGCTTTCGAGGGGTGAAACAAAGACAGGGGGGGGGGGGGGGGGGGGG